CCGTCCCGGCTGCTGCACCTGGCAAGGCAGCAGAGGAGGGTCCCAGTGCTCGGGCCCTGCCCCCGCGTGGGAGACATGGAGGAAGCTCCTGGCTCCTGGCTTTGGTCTGACCCAGCCTTGGTGGCCATTGTGCCCACTGGGCAGTGAACCAGCAGATGCAAGATCTGTTTCTCTCTCTCTGCAGCTCTGCCTTTCAGATGAATAAACACATCTTTTAAAAGCAGACAGCAACACGAGCTCCAGGACCCAGCGGGAAGCAAGAAGCAGGAGGAGGGACAGAGCCAAGGGGCACCGCGGCGGGGCCCGGGAGGGACAGCACCTTCGGCCGCCTGGGCTTGCTTGCTGATGTACTCTTCGATCTTCATCATGATCTCGGCGAACTGCCGGGCAAGCAGAGCGGGCTCAGAGCCGGAGCTTTCCCACACAGCCAGCCGGCCACCGCCCCATCTCCCCCTCGGGGAGCTCCGCTCACCCTGGCTCATCCCCAGGGCAGTCCTCTCTCACCATCTTGCTGTCCCATAGCTTGGCGATGCTCTTGACTGAATCTCCCGAGAGGTCCAGCTGCGTGTCCTCCTGCACATCCTCGATGGTCGGTTCCTCCTCTTCCTCCCCATAACTTCCTCCCTCTTCCTCCTCAGCCGCCTCTTCCAGGTCAGCCAGGAGCTCATCGGCCAGAGACATCCTGGGGCCTGCTGGGGAAGGCGGGTGCCCTCACACCTGGCAAGCGAGGACCTGGCCCGTCCTACCTCACCCCGGCCCCTTCAAGGAAGCCCTCACTCTCCTGGCTGCGGGGGTGGTGTGGGGGGATCCTAGCTGCAGCTCTGATTTGCTGAGCCACCCCCTTCCTGGTGCGGACCGGTACTGTACCCAGCTGCCTAGGGCGGCTCTGCCCCATCGTGGCCAGCCCCAGGCCCGCACCCCCCACTGCACCTGCACATTACAGCAGGCAGCCTTGCTGACCCGCGCCCAGGATACTGGGGGACTCCCTGGTTAAGGTGGCCTGCACCTCTCCCTGCACCTGGGGGACCCACTGCTGTCCACCCAGACCTCAGCAGGCAGCCTTGCTGACCCGCGCCCCAGACTCTGGGGGACCCCCTGGTTAAGGACGCCGTCCATCAGAGCTGCAGCCCCGGCTGGGACAGGGTGACACCCCCTCGCCGGGGAGGGAGTCCCCGAAGGGCCGCCTGTGTCCTCGCACGCGGCCTCCCGCCCTCCACGCCCCGCCATCACCCTCACCTGCCTCCCGGATCGACCGTTCCTAGCCAGCGGAGCTTCCCCCGGAGTGGCCGGCGCTCCCGGATGACGTCCCACACCCGCGCCGGCCGCGGAAGCCGAGCTGCGTTCTGATTGGCCGCCGCCCCGACCGCGTTTGCAACAACAACTTTATTGGGACGTGCGCTCGGGCGCAGCCCCGGTGTGTCCGCAGACGAGCCGGTGGTGGCCGGGGCATCGGTGGGCTCCCGCGGGCCGTGCGTGGACGAGACCGCGAGGCTGCCGAGGCGGGGCATCGCCGAGGGTGGACGGCAGCGGCGGGACGAGCGGGCGGCGACGGGAGTCTCGGACGCCAGAGCCGGGCCTTGGGGGGCGCGCCTCGGGGTGGCGGTGGGTGGGCATGGGGCGCAGGGGGCCGTAGGCGCCAGGCCCGCCAGGAGCACGCGACAGCCCCCCAGGACGCGGGGGCGCCCGGAGCCGGGCAGACATGGAGCTGGAGCAGCGAGAGGGGTGAGGCGTGCAGTCCCGGAGGCCCCGCGGGGTGCGCGTGGGTACGGGGCGGCTGCGCCGGGGCCCTTGGCCCGAGGGACGGGAGCGCGCTGGGGTCCTCCCTGAGCCCCCACACCCCGTCCCCGACCCTCCAGGACCATGGCAGCCGTGGGCTTCGAGGAGTTCTCGGCGCCTCCGGGCTCGGAGCTGGCGCTGCCCCCGCTCTTCGGGGGCCACATCCTGGAGAGCGAGCTGGAGACGGAGGTGGAGTTCGTGTCCGGCGGCCTGGGCGGCTCGGGGCTCCGGGAGCGAGATGAAGAGGAGGAGGCGGCCCGGGGCCGGCGGCGGCGCCAGCGGGAGCTGAACCGCAGGAAGTACCAGGCGCTGGGGCGGCGCTGCCGGGAGATCGAGCAGGTGCGTCCCTCCTGCGCGCGTTAGCTTGGGCGCCCTTGCTGGCGGAGCGTGGGGTGCGCCCCCTTCTCCGCCGGGGGCCTCCAGGACGGCTCCAGGCTCCCCTGCCTCCTGTGCCCGGGGAGGGCTGGCGGTTCTGCAGGCCCTTCCGTGGCGAGGGTGAGGATGGAGCAGGAGGCAGGCGCACCTGTTGGTTTTTTGTTTTTCCCCCTTCTTGCGCGTCAGAAGGCGCAACTGAGGCGTTTCAAACTGGGAATACTGGGGTGCACACCATTTGGGCCAGCAAAGATGCGCCTCTTCCCGGGCCTCTGCCGCAGCTCCCTGTCATCCTGGGCGTCCTGTGGCTCTTGGGCTGCACCTGAGCCCTGCCTTGGCCCTCTCCCCATGTCGGTCTCCCCGCGTAAGGTCGGCTTGCTGGATCAGGTCTTTCAGCCAATGCTCCTTGAACTTAGTCACCTCTGTAAGACCCTGCCTCCAACACCCCAGCTTTTTTGTGAAGTGAGCAGGAGGGTTGAAGTGGTGTTGGGGTTCTGGGAGAGGCTGGAAGCCCAGACCCTGGGGAGGCATCAGGGCCTCTGCCCCCAGGTACCCGCCCAGGGATGCTGTTGCCGTTAACACCCCCCATTTCACCCGTGCAGGAAGAAGGGAGGGCCACTTACCCGTGCCCACCAGCTGAAAAGGGATGGGGCCAGGGCTGGAACCCGGGTCTTTCTGAGACCTGGCTGTGTCACCACCACACCGGGTTCCTGCTTGCTCGGTCACATTCCCTGTCTAGGGTGCTCATGTGGGCTTCATGTCCCGGCTCACTCAGGCCTTGGCGAGTCGGCCTGTGTGTTGTCAGTGGGCACAGGGTGGGTGTGGGACTGCCAGCACCACCTGTCTGCAGCTCCTGCTGTGGCTGGGGAGACGGGGACTGGCCCAGCAGGTGTAGTGTGGGTGAGGACAGTGTGTGTGAGGGGCATGGCCCAGCGTGGGTACACTGTGTGTGTGTGTGTGTGTGTTGTGTGTGTGAGGGGCATGGCCCAGCAGGAGGTCTGAGCGTATAGCAGGTGCACCAGGCTGTGGGGAGTGGGGTGCAGGTACTGGTGAAGGGTGGGAACTGAGTGCCAGGCTAGCCTGCTGCAGTGGGCAGCAAGCTTTGCAGGAGGGGGTCTCCCAAGAGGGGCCCCAGGAAGGGGCTGTGACCCGTCCTGAGTCTCTGGTGGGCGGGGACCCACAGCACCGGCCACTTCCTGCTGCCCACAGGTGAACGAGAGGGTCTTGAACAGGCTGCACCAAGTGCAGAGGATCACCCGGCGGCTACAGCAGGAGCGCAGGTAACCCCGGGGCGGGAGGTCAGGGGGGCCCTCCTACGGGACTGGGCACCGGAAGAGAGCGAAGGGCAGCAGAGTGGAAAGGGGGCGACCTGGGCCCCAGATCCAGCCCCTGCTGTGCTGTGAAGGCTGGTCCCAAGTGCCAGGCTCAGCTCAGAGGGCCCCACTGTGTGACCAGGCTCAGCTGATGGCCCCTCGTGGTGTGACCAGGCTCTGCAGCATGCCAGTTGAGCACTGGCCCTGTCACTTAGTGTCCCCTCTGCTATTAAGCAGGAACAAGCCGGCTGAGGGGCCCCACTGCACCTGCTGCAGGACAGGCACCTCCAGGCACCACTGCCAGGGCATCCTGGTCATGCACTGGCTCCCATCTCCTGGACTTCCCAGGCTTTCCGTCTTGGCACCCTTGCTGGGTGTCGCTCGGCACAGGGGTGGGTGCTGCTTCAATTCGAAGGGGCATCAGACCTTGGTCCCCGGGTGCACTGGGCTCAGCACTGCCCCTGGTGGCCAGTGTAGAAGCACGCCCAGACGGTCCCTGCGTCCCTGATCTGGAGGCCACCAGCCGCCCAGCTCCTCACTGCTCCTCCCTGAACTCCGCATGCCCCCTGGACGGACACGGACCTCTCGGGCACCGGCGTGACCACGGCTCCACCCTCAGGAAGCCCAGACCCGGGTCTTTGGTCCCAGGCATCCAGGTGTCCTGCCTGTCTGCACCACCAGCCAGCAGCAGGAGGACTAGGGGGCAACTGAGGCTGATCCACACTCACCCCTCACGCAGGCCTGGCCCTGCCCCCTCACTTGGCCTGCTGCCACTCGCCTCCCCTGCTGGACCCTGAAACCCCCCAAGGACTGTGTCCCTGTGGCCGGCGCCCCCCACCCGGCCGTGTCCACCCGTGTCGTCTCCACACACAGGTTCCTCATGAAAGTGCTGGACTCCTACGGGGACGACTACCGGGCAAGCCAGTTCACCATCGTGCTAGAGGTGCGCGGCAGCTCCAGGCCAGCTGTGGGGAGTGCAGGGAACGTGGGGCCTGGGCACCCCCTTCAGCTGCCCCTTTCCCTGCGCAGGACGAGGGCAGCCAGGGCACGGACGCCCCGACCCCTGGCAACACGGAGAATGAGCCTCCAGACAAGGAGGGGCTGTCTCCACCCGGAAGCACGCCCGTGCCCCCAGAACCCAGCAGCCCAGCGCCCGGAGAGGGGCCCAGCGGGCGCAGGAGGCGGCGAGCGCCCCGGGACATGCGACGGCCAGGGGCAGCGCTGACCCCAGAACCCCCAATGCAGGTGGGAGCAGGAGGGAGCAGGACGGTCGAGGCTGGGAGCCCTGCCTGTGGCGAGGGGGCCGCGGGTGGGCCGTGGGTCCAGGCGCCTCCCTGCTCACAGCTCCCTCATCACCCCCAGATTAAGGTGGAGGAAGACTTCGGCTTCGAGACCGACGAGGCCCTAGATTCCAGCTGGGTTTCTCGGGGGCCTGACAAGCTGCTGCCCTACCCGACCCTGGCCAGCCCACCCTTTGACTGACCCCTCCCCCAATAAACAGACCCACCCCCACCCAGCCTCAGATCACACTCGGATGGGTACGGAGGTCTCCGCAGGTTTATTGGGGTCTCCACACAGGCGTTCACAGCTTCTTGAGCCACTCCAGGCTGGGGCCCTGGGGGTCCTGCGGGTGGCTGGGCACATCGGGCAGGTTGCCGTTGTCACGGAGGGGCACTGCGGGGCGGGAGGGGTCCCTGAGACCAGCGCCTCTGCAGGAGCCCAGGGTGAGGGGCAGAGAAGGGGTGAGGAACAGGGAGGACTGGGGGCCGGGGAGGAGTGAGGGCAGGGGAGACAGGCTAGGGGTGAGGGGCAGGGGGGACTGGGGGCCGGGCAGGAGTGAGGGCGGGGGGGAGTGAGGGCAGGGGAGACGGGCTAGGGGTGAGGGGCAGGGGGGACTGGGGGCCGAGAGGAGTGAAGGCAGGGAAGGACTGGGGCTGGGGGTGAGGGGCAGGCCCAGAGACACACAGGTGGAGGGCCCGGAGGTCCACAGCCTGGGCACGAGACGCACACCTCAAACACCCCAAACGCCAACCGCCGGCTCCCGCTCACCTGGGTAGTTGTAGGGTGTGGCCTGGTTGATCATGGTGGAGTACTTGGTGAAGGGGCTGAGCGGGGGCAGAATGACGGCTGTGGAGAGACACAGGGATGAGGTCGGGGCCGGGGACCCGCGGGATCCCAGGGCGGCTGTGTGTGTGGAACGTTCCAGATCCCAGGACAGGTGCGTGTGGCTGGGGAACGTTCCAGAACAATCCTGACTCTTGGAGGCTGGGGGCCGCGCTGGGACACTCACGCACCCAGCCCCGCGATGGCGAAGGACACGACCAGCACCGGCTCCTTGGCCCAGGCGTTCCTGAGGAAGGCGGCGAGTCCTGCAGGGCAGCGAGGGTCACGGAGGGCTGTCCCCGGTGACCTCCAGCCCCCCGCATCGCCCCCGGCGCCCGCGACCCGCCGGGCACGGCTCCCGGCGCCCCCCGGGCAGCGGAGCACCGCGTCTCAGCGCCCGCCCTGCCCGGGGAAGCCCGGGTCCTTCCGACCCCGCGCGCCCGCAGAACCTGCACTTACTCCCGGCCATCTTGGTCGCGGCGGTGCAAGGCACTCTGGGAGTTGTAGTTCCCGCGCAGAGAGGCGGCGGGCTCCGAGTCCACGCATGCGCCCTGAGGCAGGCGGTGTCCTCTGGGAGTTGTAGTCCCCGCGCGGGAGGCTCCGCCGTCTGAGTCCTTGCAGACTCCCTTCCCAAGTAGAGGCGCCTTCTTCCTAACGGAGTTCAGGTGCAAGTCTGACCTTGCATGCTTACCTGCAGGGGCTCTGCTCTCGACGTGGAGCTCCCTGCGGAGGAGCGACTCGCAGTCCTGCCGCAGCCCGTTTAAGGCTCTGTGCATGCATGCGCCCTTTGGTCAGGCTAGGCAGTGTGTCCCTCTGTGAGCCCCAGAGCAGTGCCACAAGGGCCTGGCACATAACACGCAGACACCTCAAAAACACATATGGAGAAACTGAATGAAGAGAGGAGGGTTGGGGCCGGCGCTGTGGCGTTAGCCAGTATATGCAGCCTGCGGTGCCGGCATCCCATCGGGGTCCTGGTTTTTCCACGTCCCATCCCGTTCCCCGCTTGTGGCCTGGGAAAGCCCGAAGCCCTGGTGCCCTGCACCCCCATGGGAGACCTGGATGCAGCTCCTGACATCAGCCTGCGCAGCCTTGGCCACTGAAACCATTTGGGGAGTGAGCAGGTGGCTCTCTGTCTTTCCCTCTCGGTCACTCTTAGAAATAAAGAGATCTAAAAACAAAACCAAACACACAAACAGCGTAAGGTTGTTGCCTGTTTCAATGCTTCCTGCTGCATCACGGGGCTATGACACAACCACCGGGAAACCCCAACTTCTTCCTCCCCTCCCCCCAAGGGTCCTGCCGGCCTTAAGCTGTCTCACTTCCTGGAAGGGGAACCGAGCCCGGGCCAGCTGCAGTGGACAGCTGTCCAGCATGGCCCTGGTGGGAGCCCTGGGATTGCTGACCCTCTGTGAGTGCCCCCGGGGCCCTGGCTGGGCAGGCGTCACAGACGGGGGTCCTCAGGGAGAGGAGGCGGTAGAGGGACCCCGAGGCAGGGCATGCGGACCCCCAGATGCGGAGGTGGGGCTGGGACCAGAGGCGGTGGAGAGCTGATCTTCAAAGAAAGTGCGGCCTGCGGGCGTGGCGTGTGTGGAGAGGAGGGGGAGCAGGGGTGGGGTTGGCACAGGAGAGCAGGGTTTGAGGTCCTAGGTGGGCGGTGGGGAGTGCTCTGAGAAGTACCAGAAATCCTCCCTTCTCCAGGGCCTCTGTGCCAGGCAGCCTCCACCCCCTCTGGTGAGTAACAGGACACCCATCGCTCTCCTGCGTGCTGCTCACCTGCCCCTCCTCCCTGTCTCCTCCGGGCCATCCTCGCATGGGGGTGCAGAGCCCTGGCTCCCGTCCCCCATTAACCACACGGCCTTCAGAGACCCTTAGCTCACGGGGACCCTGTGTGTGCAGGGGCACATGCCCTGGGCCCAGCACCTGGAGTGTCGACCATGCCCTGACTGACACAGGTGGGGTCCCCCCCCAGCTCTGGGTCTCTGCCCCGCTCTCCTCCCTCACCTACAGCGTGCGGACTTCTGCTGAGAGCTGCCTGGTGGGAACAGGAGTCATCTCTCAGCCATCTCTTCATCCGAAATGATAAAGAAATGTGTAGGCACGGTTTGAAAGACTCAGACATCACGGAAGGCCCGATGCTGGCCTCTGCCCTCTCCCTGGCGCCTTGAATAATCCTCTGAACTCTTAGCAGACATTTCCATGCACTCACACAGGCACGGGTGTTTATAGCCCTCCCCGCCCCCTGCGCTGGCAAGGCTAACCTGGTCCTCTGGGACCCAGTTCCCTGCTGTTCTGGGTCTCCCCTCCTCTTCATCTCAGTCTCTCCTGGAGGTAGCCCGTGGCGTGCCATCGCTAAGGGTTCCGGTTCAGGTCTGAGCCTCGTACCTGCCCTGGCATGGGTGGCTGGAGTCCAGTTTGCCTGGCCAGTCCCATTTCCACTGACACGTGCATGGCTTCCGGCCCGCTCACCCTCCCAGTCTGACAGCCGGGAGCACCTCCAGAGGGGCGTCTTGTGGAGTGGTCCCTGGTCACCTACTCCGGGCATCCTGATGAAGTCACCACTGTGCCCAACACTTGCTTTGTTGAACTCATGGGGCTTGATGGAGTGTTAACCATCGCCTTAACTTGGGTTAAGGGGTGCAGGGACCCAAGCACTTGGACCATCCTCTGCTGCTTCCCACGGGTGTCAGCCGGAGCTGGATGGGAGGTGGAGCGGCCGGGACTCCAGCCAGCGCCACAGCAGGGACCCGAGGCTGGCCAGGTGGCCTTCTTCCTTCCCCAACTTTCCTTCCCCTCCCACCCGTCCTGGCTGCTCGCACTAGGTCGCGATGCGTTCGTTCCCGCAGCTTCCTACCCCAAGCCGCGGCTGACGGCACAGCCGGCCGCCGTGGTGACCCCGGGGATCAACGTGACCTTGAGGTGCCATGCCCCGCGCCCAGCCTGGAGGTTCGCCTTCTTCAGGCTCGGAGAGAGTGTGTACGTGTCCTCGGACCTGGACGAATTCTTCCTGGAGGAGGTGACGCTTGCCCAGGGCGGCGCCTACACGTGCAGATACGGGCTGCCAGACCGGGGACCGAGTGTCTGGTCGCAGCCCAGCGACGTCCTGGAGCTGCTGGTGGCCGGTGAGACCCCGGGACGGGGCCCGGGGCGGGGTGAGGACGCAGGGGCGCGCCCGGCACTCAGTCCCTGCGCCCTCCTTGCGCACAGAGCAGCTGCCGCGGCCGTCGCTGGTGGCGCTGCCCGGGCCCGTGGTGGCGCCTGGGGCCACCGTGAGCCTGCGCTGCGCGGCCCGCGTGCCCGGCATGAGCTTCGCGCTGTACCGCGCCGGCGAGGCGGACCCGGTGCAGTACCGCGACTCGGCCGAGCCCTGGGCCGACTTCCCGCTGGCCGGCGCCCACGCCCCCGGCACCTACAGCTGCTACTACCACACGCCACACAGGCCCTACGTGCTGTCGCTACGCAGTGAGCCGCTGGAGGTGCGCGCCCACGCAGGTGAGCTAGCCCGGGGCCAGGACCTCTCCTGGCTTGATCTGGGGGTCCAGCCCAGCCCCTCCTCCCTCACTCCCAGGGGTCCAGCCCAGCCCCTCCTCCCTCACACCCAGGGGTCCAGCCCAGCCCCTCCTCCCTCACACCCAGGGGTCCAGCCCCTCCTCCCTCACACCCAGGGGTCCAGCCCCTCCTCCCTCACACCCAGGGGTCCAGCCCAGCCCCTCCTCCCTCAGACCCAGGGGTCCAGCGCCTCCTCCCTCACACCCAGGGGTCCAGCCCAGCCTCTCCTCCCTCAGTTGCCGCCCCCCACTCCAGTAGGTCCCTACTCCCACCTGCACCCTGGGGTTGGAGGCCTGCCAGGCAGAGTCCAGAGCTAACCGCCTCTCTTCCTCTGCTTGACCACAGACCTGCACCCCCCGGACTACACATTTGGGAATCTCGTCCGCCTGGGGCTGGCCGGCCTCGTCCTTGCTGCCCTGTGCACACTGGTCACCCTGCATTGTCGCAATGCACGCCGTGCCCTGGGCCAGAGGCCCCCAGGAAGCTGGGTCTAGACCAGACACCTGTGCCCCGTCCCCCTGACTTCCTGCAGCGGGAGAAGACTTCTGAGGCTCCAGCTGCCCTGCGCCCCCGCCACCATCCCGAATGTTCTGATTGTAGCCCCTTTAAGTGTCCTGGACCGTGACAATATACACAGGACAGGGCTGTTGTGTAAGGTTGAGAAATAGTGACTGCCCGTGCTAAATACGCAGTAATCTTTGCAAATGCGTGAGAGTGCTTCCTGCCGGCCCCCACCCACAGCGGGGCGGCGGGGTCAGAACGGCCGAGCGGGTGTAGGGGCTGAGCCGGGCTGGCGGTTCTGTCCGTGGTGCTTAGGAGGAGCACTGGGCACTAAGGGGCTCGTGGCCCTTGCAGGCCTTGCTCTCCCCGCAGGAGCACCGGGCGGCCTCTGCTCCCTCCCCGGGGGTGTCCACAGAGAGCTGCACGGGAAGTGGAGCTTACTCTGCCATGCCACAGCACCCACCCCTCAGCGATACAATTTTGATACAATCGTACTTCTCTCCCTCCCTTCTTTTTCAACTTTTCCACAACAGCATGTTTTTAATGCAAAGAATTCAACGAAGTAGAACGCAGCAGGACCACAAATCCGAAAGCTGCAAAAGCTGCAGTCAGCATGCTCCCTTTGCATGCCCCCAACGCTCCCCGCACATCTGCCAGCTGTCCGTAGGCAGGCCTGGGCTGGAAAGGCCAGGCCCCTGCCGCTCTTCGGAGCGCCCTGCCCGATGCGGAGTGCTGGGTACCACACCCGGGAAGATCCCGAGCAGGTGCACCTTAAAACGCGTGGAGGGCGTGGGAAGTCTCACCGTCCTGGGGAGGGCGCCCTCCCGGCTTGGATATGGCTGGGCCAGGAAGGACGAGGGGATACCCCTGGGGTCTCCTCTCCCCTCAGCCTGCTAATCCCATAGCAGGAGCCTCACCTGCTCTGTGATCCCACGTCGTCACCGGTGTGTGGCCTGGGAAAACAGTGGAGGATGGTCCAAAACCTTGGGACCCTGCACCTGTGTGGGAGACCAGGAGGAAGCTCCTGGCTTCCGACCGGCTCAGCTCTGGTCACTGTGGCCATTTGGGGAGTGAACCAGTGGATGGAAGATCTGTCGATCTCTTCCTCTGTAACTCTGCCTTTCAAATAAATAAATCAATCTTCAAAAAAAAAGTACTGTTTCACCTTTAGTTAAAAAAAAAAAAAGATGCCAAGAACAAACAAAGGGGTGGGTGTTTGGTGTAATGGGGGCAGGGGGCGCCGGGGCAGGGGGCGCCGGGGCAGGGGCGCCGGGGCAGGGGCGCCGGGGCAGGGGGCGCGGGGGCGGGGGGCGCCGGGGCAGGGGCGCCGCCGCAGGGGGCGCCGGGGCAGGAGATGCTGGAGCAGCAAACGACAGGGTCCTGCCTGCCCTGTGGGAGACCCGGGCTGAGTTCCACCTCGCCGCCATTGCAGGAATCTGGACGGGAACTCCGTGTCTATCCGCAGTTCTCTGCTTTGCAAATAGATGGGGACAAACAGCAGGGCTGCGGAGACGGCAGCCGGACGTCTGAGTCATCAAGCTCCCTGCGGGCGTCTGCTGTGAGAACACGAGAACATCCCTGACAACATAGAGTCACGCCCGTTGCAGGAGGGAGGGCCCATGAATATTCATGACACGTGCTGAGATAAATCACACAGTCTCGTAAGAGTGAA